AATGGCATAATGTGAGGCGAAAAAGTGTCAGAGGAGTGTATACAAAGTAAGAGCCCATCTACTGAAAGTTTATCTCTTATTTATGAATACAAAAGTGTAGTAAAATGAAGACCCTTAAAGGCGTGCACTCAGGAGAGTGGTCGTCTCTGAGGAGGGGAGAAAATGGGACTGAAAAGAGAATAAAGAAGACCCACATTTTATCTGTGCTCTTTTATATGTGTCATTAGAATATGTAAAGCAAAGATGACCTTGCTATGGACTGACTGTGCTCCCCTGAATTCGAATGTTGAGAGTCTAATCCCCAGTGTGGTGGTATTATGGGTTGGGGCTTTGGCAGGTAGTAGGGTCATGAGGATGGAGCCCTCCTGGACGCAATTGGTGCCCTTATAAAAAGAGACACAGACTTTGCTTCCTCCCTCTGCTCCCTGCCATGTGAGGACACAGTGAGCAAGACTGCCATCTGTAAACCAGGAAGCGGGCTCTCACCAGACACCGGATCTGCTGCTGCCTTGATCCTGAGCCTCCCAGCCTCCAGAACTGTGAGAAATAGAGGTTTGTTGTTTAAGCCACCCCATCTATGGCAATTTGCTATTGCACCTTGAGCTGATGAAGACAACGACCAAATGTTGACACTTGTTAATTCTGGGGAGTGGACTATCTATAAGTGTTTCTTATGATTGTACTTTTCTATATTAAAACAAAACAAACACACAGAAACCAGAAAGTATTGAGCAAGAAATAAAAGAATAGATTAGGCATTATTATTTTTTTTTGTATGATCAACCTTATCTTCAGTTATTTCATTTGGTTTTGGATCATAAAATAATTCTGAATCTTTTCTGAGGGTCAGAATAGCCATATGATACCTACTTTATTGTATTCAAAAACCACAGCAGCTGTGCTTAATAAAATTAGCTGCTTGTTAATCCTAATAAGGTATAACTTTTACTACTAATTAGTTCCAGAAGATAGATTTACATTCAAATTTAACACATTATTGTATTAAAGAAGAGACCAGGGGCGCCTGGGTGGCTCAGTATGTTAAGCATCTGACTCTTGTTTTTGGCTCAGGTCATGATCTCAGGGTCGTGAGATTGAGCCCTGAGACAGGCTCCCCATTCAGTCGCTGGTGGTGAGGGGTGTGTGTCTGCTTTAAGAGTCTCTCCTTCTGCCCTCCCACGACACCCACACGTGAGCTGTCTCTCTCAAATAAATAAATAAAACTTTTAAAAAATATATCAGGGCGCCTGGGTGGCTCAGTCAGTTAAGCGTCTGCCTTGGGCTCAGGTCATGATCCTGGGGTCCTAAGATCAAGGCCCATGTTGGGCTCCCTGCTCAGAGGGGAGCCTGCTTCTCCCTCTCCTGACTTATGATGCTCTCTCTCTCTCGCTCTCTCTCTCTCAAATAAATAAATAAATCTTAAGAAAATTAAAATAAATAAATCAAAGAAAATAGAGGCCATATCTTGATAATTTTTTTTTTATCTCAGTATCTTATACATGGTAGATGTTCAAGAAGTGTCTTTGGAATCCATGAAACTAATTTGTCCTTTTCTCAACATTAAAATTAGCAATGAGAAAGAAACTTCTAGACACAGAAATGTAGCAGTTTGATAATGTGGCTTATAGTTTTTTGAAATTTTTTAAATGTGATAAATTCAGATGGTTCAAAATTAAAGGTTTAAACTGATATACAATGAAAACTAAGGCTCCATTCAACACTTGATCCCCAGCCACTCTCCTAAATAGGCAACCAAAATGACCAGTTTTGTGCATATGTCTGGAAAAGAGATATTTTATACATGTACAAGCAAATGGATATGTATCTTTTTTTCTCTGTTTATACAAATAGTAACATTCATATTCATGGCTCAAAATACCATCTACAGATGACATTGATTAGACAGTCATTTGGATGTCTAATAAATAAATCAAATTCAACATGTGCAGACTGAATTCCCGATCTTTCCTCCAAACAGGCTCCATCAGCCACTTTCCCATTCAGCCCATGGCACCCCCAGCCTTGGGGTTGCTCAGCCGTCCTTGACTCCTCCTGTTCACATACCACATCCAGTCCGTCAGGAAAGCCTGTTGGCAAGTAGGAAAACATTTCCAGAATCTAATCACTGCCTACCACCACCTCTGTTGTCACCCAGGTGATGGCCACCAGCATCTCTCGTGAGATGAGGGTCCCTGCCTGAGGATTCTCTGCCTCCACTGCTGCCTCCCACAGCCTATTCTCCGCAGACCACCAGACAGAAGCTTTTAAATTCGAAGTCATACAGTGCCACTTGGTGCCTCAGATTCCAACAGGGCTCCTTGTTTCTCAGAATGAAAGTCAACCTCCTTATACGGCCCTGCACTGATTTGCCTCCCGCTGTCTTCCTCACCTTCTTCCTACTACTCTTTCCAGATCCCTCTGCTCAGCCTGGCCAGCCTGCTCCCACACCAGCAGACATATGCCCGCCCTAGGGCCTTTTACCTTAGCTCCCACGCCTGGAACTCTTCTCTCAGACACTTTTCCGGACAAATGCCCTCACCTTCTTCAAGCCTTTGTTCAAATCTTACCTAATAAGATCCAACCTGACCATGGTATTGTTAACAGTGCACATTATCTTCTTCTCCACTCCCAAACCCCTGGATCTCCCATACCCTGCTCTACTCTTTCTTTTACCCACAGGACTCAAAGTTCCTGATAAACTACTATATAATGTTCACATTTGGGGTTTACCAATTGTCTCCTTTAACAGAATGTAAGCTCCACTACAGTTAAGATCTTTGTCTATTTCATGGATATATCCCAAATGTCTAGTGTGATGCCTGACACATAGCAGATGCTCAAATGTATTTGATGAATACATGAATGTGTAAATAGATTATACTATGCATATCATTTGCACCTTAACTTTTTCACTAAATGACATATTCATTCATTCAACAAATACATTTTGAAATCTTGGAAATTTTTTATCAGCGCATACATTCTTTCCCTCATTCTTCTTCTTCTTCTTCTTTTTTTTTTTTTTTACAGAAGCTTATTATTTCATTGGAATTTCATCATTAAAAAGAGGTACCATAATTTACATAATTCATATAACTGGTTCTATTTAGATTGATTCTAGTCTTTTATTTTTACAGAAGAATACTGTAATGACAATCTGGTTCATGTGTTATTTTACATATGTAAGAATAGTTGCAGGATAAACTGCTAGAAATGGAATTGCTGGGTCAAAGGCTATTTGCTTTTTAATTTTAATAGGTACTGCCAAACTGAATTCTACAGAACTTGCAGCAACTTACGTTCCCTCCAGCAATGTATGAGAATGTTTGCTCACACTGTCATCAATGCAGCTTATAATCTTATTATCTTTGCCAGTCTGATAGGTAGACAATGAATTCTCAATGTAACTTTCATTTGCATGCCTGCTATTTTGAGGGACAGGAACATTTTTCCATATGTTTAAACAATGTTTGAGTCTTTTCCATTTTCTATGGGGTTGTTGATCTATTTCTTATTGCTTCCTAGGAGTCCTTTATATAGCAGAGAAATTAGCCCTTTGTGATAGGAAATGCAAATATTTTTCTCTGGCTTGTGTTTTGTCTTTGGGCCTTCTTACGATTTTTGGCCTAGCAGATTTAAAGAAAATGTTTTTATGAAGTTGAATGCACCATGTTTATTCATGCTTTTTTCTTCTGGGTTTTGCATCAGACATAGATGGCTATCCTCGATCTGATTTATTTGAACATTCTTAAATGGCTTCTTCTAATACTTTTGCAGTTTCATTTTTACTTTTGAACCTCTGATCCGCCTGGAATATCTCTTGATGTGTTGAGATAGGAATAGCTAACTTTGCTATGACTACCCACTTACCCCCAAGCCATTAATTGAATAAGCCATTTTTTTTTCTTTACTACTTCAAAGTGCCATCTTTGCCCTAAGCTAAATTAATAAGTGATATTAAGGAGATTCAAAATCAAATATTCTGTCATTTGGGACAGCATCCCTAAGTTTTCCCTATACCCTTATATTTTATTCTTTTTTTCAAAGATTTTATTTAATTATTTATGAGAGAGAGAGAACACCCAGGGGGAGAAGCAGAGGGAGAGGGACAAGGAGACTCTGTGCTGAGCACAGAGCCTGATGGAGGGCTCCATTCCACGACCCTGAGATCATGACCTGAGATGAAATCAAGAGTCGGAGCCCAACAGACTGAGCCACCAAGGTGCCCCTATATTTTATTCTTAAATTCTATTCTGTACCATTGCGTCTTGCGTCTATTCATGCCTCAGGATTACTATTTCAGTTTCTAATGGCATATAGTGAAAAGGTTAGTGCCCATCATAGGTACTCTCAGAATTTCCCTAAATATTCTTGCTCCTTATTTTTCTGCCTGAAATTTATTTTTATTTATTTATTTTTAAAGATTTTATTTATTTATTTGACAGAGAGAGCAAGAGAGCACAAGCAGGGGGAACAGTAGAGGGAGAGGGAGAAGCAGGCTCCCCTCCGAGCAGGGAGCCCGATGCGGGGCTCGATCCAGGACCCTGAGATCATGACCTGAGCCGAAGGCAGACGCCCAACCATTTGAGCCACCCAGGTGCCCCTCTGCCTGAAATTTAGAAACAACTTGCTATCACCGCTCAAAATAATGCCAGGACCAAGCCCAAGATCAACAACAAAAGCAACACAACAACATGTGATATTTCTCTGGGTTTCTATTACATTCATGCTCTCCAGCTCCAACCTTCACTATTGATTGCCTTTAGCATATTGAAATCACTGCAAAACAGTCTTTTCCTGGTCTGTCTCTGAGCTAATTCTTACTGGAGTTTTGGTTGCAGGGTCACACATAGTTTCACCTCCATAACTGCCTTAGGCTGTTGTTCTGGGTTCTGATCCTCAGCCATCCTGATATCCTTCTATTCATTTTTTCCTTATCAGTTCATGCTATAGCATAATTTAAAGTGGTTTGTTCAAAATCATAATTATAAGGGACTTACCATAATACTCCTTTTATTAACTTCTTTTAGACAGAAGTCTTATAATCCTGAAACAATCTTGCAGTCATTCCAATTCAAACTGTATGTTATGACTCTGTCCTTTAAATTTTTAAGTGTATTTTCCACTTGAGTTCTTAAAGGTTCAGAGACAACTGGTTTCTGTGCAACCACTCAGGTGAAGTACATACTCTGTCTTGCTGCTTTCCATTCCTTAGTGAAGTGCTTAACATCTGTAGCCAATAAACATACTCTCTGGGATGAAAGAGAAAAAAAGAATTTAGTAAAAGAATTTTAAAATAGCTGTCAGCAGGCTTCTCATAAGATTAAGTTTTTAAAAGCTAAAATAAAAGTTCTACCCATCACAGACTAACTATGCTTTAAAATATACAAGCAGTAGACTATAATTCACACACACAATGCACACACAAACACATAAAAAGACTGAGGAAGTAAAATGTAATGAAATCGGTACATCCTACAATTTAGAATAAATGGCTTTAGGATCTGCATGAGGAATGCAGAACCATATATGTCTTGTGGGTTCATTTTTATAGGGATGAAAAATAACTAACATTTGGAATACTTCCTTTCTCTGAGGAACTATGCTAAACATTCTATTGAATCCTCACCAAGACCCTATGGTCCAGGTTCAATTATTATCTACACTTTGTGGAGGAAAAACTCTGATGTTTATAAGCAATTTGTCTAAAGCCAGCCAGTTACCAGCTGGTAGACTAGGATTTACTCCTAGGAAGCCGGACCCCAGATCTCTATGCTGCTACTAGGCACAAATAAGATGCTAGAATGGGAGCATTTGCAGAGTTCTTCCTAAGTGGGGTAATTATAAATGATTTTTAAAAATCAGCTTTATAGAAGTTTAATATACATAATAAAATTCACTAATTGTGTGCACAATTAGATACGTGCTAAAAAATGTATTCAGTGATGTTATCATCACCAAAATTATAATATTGAACATTTCCATTACCCTCCAAAATTCCCCTATGCCCCCTTGCCCCATACTCCCTGGCTCCTGGCAAATCCCACTGATGTCCTTTCTGGCATGAGAGTTTTGCCTCTTCTAAAAGTTCATATAAATTAAATCACACAGTAGTTGTCTTTTGAGGATGAATTTTTTTTTTTTTTTTGAGAGAGAGAGAGGTGGGGAGGGTGCAGAGGAAGAAGGAGAGAGAGAATCTTGAGCAGGCTCCATGCCCAGCGTGGAGCCCAATGCAGGGCTCGAACTCACAACCCTAAGATCATGACTTGAGTCGAAATCAAGAGTTGGACGCTTAACCGACTGCCCAGGTGCCCCTTGACGATGAAATTTTAAATGTATCATAGTGCATTTGAGACTCATTATGTTGTTACACGTAAGTTATTACTTTTTATTGTTGAGTGATATTCCATTGCAGGGGTATGCCACAATTTGTTTATTCACCAATAAACATTTGGGTTATTTTCACTTTGAGGTAATTACAAAGAAGGCTGCTATGAACATTTGAATACAAATCCTTGTTTGACATATGGTTTAATTTCTCTTGAGTAAGTACTACAAATACGACTTCTAGGTCATATGGTGTCATGTAGTCATCTGATAAGGTTATATTTATCTTTACAGGAAACTTCCAAATAATTTTTCAAAGTCTGTGAACCGTTTTGTATTTCCCCCAGCAATGGGTAAATGTTCTAGTGACTCATATCCTTGTCTACCCTTGGTATTGTCCATATTTAAATTTTAGGCATTAGCGTGTGGGGGTGTGTGTAGTGGTATTTCATTGTGTTTATTAAAGGCCTATTATTTATCATGCACCATGCTATCCACAGGGAATAAAATGGTTAGTAATACAGAGTTGATCCCTCATAGAGTTTAAGGACCAGAGGAGAAGACAAACAAGCAATTATGACAGAGAATGCTAAGCAGTATTGTATTAGGGCGCCTCCTAACACAAACATCTGCCATTTTCTGCCCATCAGCTCTTCTTTTCAATAATCAAAACATTTAGATAAAGTTGCTTAGAGAAATAGAAAAAACAAAAAGACTTTAGTAGAGGTGATTTTAAATTCCATATCGAATACATTCTTACACACATTAGCTGTTTTGTCAGTATTTACATCCTGAAAATCAGTTTGAAAATACACAACTCTTTTAGAACTCTGGAGACAGGTAACCTGAGGTTCTTTAGAGCAAAGAACCAAAAATATAAACACAGCATTATTCCTGATCTGTGCTTCTAGGATCCTATAGAATTAATTCTTTGTACGCTGATACTACTTGTGAAAAATCTTTGAAAAGACAAGAGAAGTGTGGTCAATTTTCCAAACACTTATAAATTAGGTTCTAAAGATACACAAGATCTACAGCTTTTCACTCTGGAAGACGATGAAGACACACTATCAGACCACTCCCTTACAGCAGTTAGTATAGTACTACCTGAGCAGAGGTGACTGCAAAGCATAATGTGAACCAAAATGATGGCATTTCTCCCACGAATGGAGAGGACTGGGGAGGATTCACAGAGGTGGCATCAAGGTCCTGAGTGATGAATGATCAGGTCCAGAGGTAGGATGGAAGAAGTATCCAGGTAGCAGTAGTTGGGTGTATGGCTACTTGGCCTTTCTTAAGACATAACTTTCCCAGAATAGCAGACCAGTACCTCTCAGATGTCATAAAAATGATCTGAACCAATAAAATAATGATAAAAAATCTGGTATCTAGAAATTCCTCCATTCAAGCAAAGAAAAGGAGAAAAGCCCTCCCAGAAAATATGGAACTAGGTGTAGCCCCATATTTTCAGTTTACCAAAGCTGATATTAATCGGTTCTGAACAACTGAGCAGGAAACTGGTCCATTGTTTAGTAGGAAAGAGCGAAAAGATAGCAATCAGTGTGAATAATAGTGTAATTAAGAGAAGTAAACTTGGCAAGGGTACTTAATTTATACTTAATTTGAAGTTTACAAAGCTCTCCTTCCAATTTGGAGGACTAGAAAAGGAAAGAAGGTTAAGTTTTTGTCTTGAACGAAAGGACGGACCCTGGGTTAGGAAAGAAAGGGAGTAGCCTAATTTGGTAAGGAAACATAAGCTTTAAGCCAATTCTCCTAAAATTTCAACAGAAGCCAGTGCAATGCATATTCCATTCCATTAAGCTAACATCCATGATGCTTATGAACTGGGACCAGAAAACCCACTGAAATGTTACTCCAAGTACCATTACTTCTTTGTGGAATGGCTTCTCTTTCCCTCTTGAGCCTCAGGGAGGTCCTCAGGCTTGAAAGACTAGCTCTTGTCATTTTACAAATTAGAGGCTGTGTGAGCCTAAGCACTGTAAAAGACTAATTTTCCCTATCTGTAAAATGCAGCTAGTACTATCTACTTTGTAGGATTCTTGTAAGGTAAAGTATGTCGAGTACATTGAGTTCTCAGCACAAAGCTGGCCCCTATAAAAAAAGAAACAAGCAAAATGTATTAATCACCCAGTCTTTCTGGCCAGGGTACTGCAGGCCTATGATCTGCCAAAAGATACCCTTCAGCAGTTTGACTTATCTCGGAAAGCCTGTTCCCCGGGACACACCCTCCATAGAATCATCTTCTCACCAGTAACATATCTGTGCATCTCAAGCTGTCCTGAAGCACTGGCGCCTGGGTGGATGAGATGGTTAAGCGTCTGTCTTCGGTTCAGGTCATGATCCGGGGTCCTGGGATCGAGTCCCGCATCGGGCTCCCTGCTTGGCGGGAAGCCTGCTTCTCCCTCTCCCTCTGCCTCTCCCCCTGCTCATGCTCTCTCTCTCACTCTCTGTGTCTCAAATGAATAAATAATAAAAAATCTTAAAAAAAAAAAAGATATCCTGAAGCATTATTTTCTTCTTACAATAGGGGTTGGGGTTCCTCAAGGTAATTAGAGAAAGAAGGCACATGGGAAGATAATTTAACTGGGAATAAAATTTGCACTATGAACAAAACAAAACACAAAATTCAAATCCTAATCAGTATGGAAAAATCATTTTGATAGAATAGTCAAAAGAGAACAAACCTGAGTTGCATATTTTTCCTTTTATTCAAAGGCTGAGTGGTGAAGCCACCTGAGACTTCCAGATTTTTCTTTCTTTTTCCTGTGTAGTCTCTGGTTGTTCCCATTTCAAAATGGCAGTTGTGGCTTTCCAGAGAAATGTTCAGGAGGGCAGCTGACTTGGAGGTAGGTTGCCAGGATTCCTCAACATTAAAACATGCACATAAAGACTCCAGAAGGGAATGTAGGGGCGAGTGGCCTCTGCTAGCTGTTAGAGGCAGGCAGGTCCACGGCTGCATGCTGCCCTGCCTCTGCGCCCCAAAGTCAGTTTTTGTCTGTCTTTTAAAAAGAACCCCTCAACAGATGCTCTATTGAATAACTTTTAAAAAGGCAAACCACTTGTGGTCATTTAACACAATCTCAAAGCCTTGATTGCAAATGATAGTGAGATGGCCAAAATTACCACATGCTGTATCCAAGTTCTCAAGGTGCACCACCACTTTTTTTTTTTTTTTTTCCTGGTGGTCCCATAACCAAGCAGTTGATGTGGTGTTGGGAACTATTGGGGCCCATTTGGAAGACCCAGGTGCCCAGCAGCTCAGGGTCAAAGTGCAGCTGACAGGTGTGGAGTAGCAAGAGGGTGGAGAGCAGCCAGTGGGGCCAGGGACCCACAATGGTGGAGCCCCAGAGGAGAGGAGGAGACAGCCGGAGCCAGAGAGCTGCAGGCTGAGAATTTCACTGTGGCTTTAATTTGCATTTCCCCAATACTAATTTTGAATAGCTTTTCATGTATTTAATTGCCATTTGTATATCTTCTTTAGCAAAGGGTTCACATTTTGGTGGAGGAGGATTGTTTGTCTTCTTATTGAACTGTGAATGTTCTTTATATATTCTGCACTAATGACCTTAATCAGATATATATTTTCCAAGTATTTTCCCTCATTTTGTGGCTTGCCTTTCTAGTTCAAAATATTTTCTAATTTAACTTATGCTTTGTTCTCTGATACATGGGTTCTTTAGAAGTTGTTTAATTTCCAAATATTTAGATATCCTTCTGTGACTTCTAATTAATTTAAAGAATATATTTCATATTCTTTCAGTCCCTTTAAGTTTATTGAGACTTGTTTCTTGGCCCATTTTATGGTCCTTATTTATGAATATTCCATATATTTTTGAAATGTTAATTAGGTCAATTTTCTTCCTAATGTTGTTCATGTCTTCTACATCCTCGCTGATTTTGTGTCTTCTTTTTTTATCAATTACCAAGAGAGGACTGTTGAAGTTTCCAACTATAATTGAGGATTCATTTATTTTTATTCTTTCTATTCTATCAGTTTTTGTGTCATATAATTTGAAGCTGTGATACTGAGTGAATCTACATTTAGGGTTGTTATGATCTCTTGATGAATCAATCTCTATCATTTTGAAATGTCCCTTTTTTCCCCTGGTAAGATTGCTTGTTATTAAATCAACTTTGCTGGTTATTAATATAGCCATTCTACTTTTCTTTTGACTAGTGTTTTCATGGTATTGTCATTTTCCATCCTTTTACTTTTAACCTATCTGTGTGTCTTTATACGTAACTTGGATTTCTTCTGGGTAGCATATGGTTGAGTCTTGCTTTTTATTTTTAAGATTTTATTTCTTTATTTATTTGAGAGAGAGAGAGAGCATGAGCAAACAGGGGGAGGGAGAGGGACAAGCAGACTCCATGTGGAGCACAGAGCCTGACAATAGGAGCAATCCCACCACCCCAAGATCATGACCTGAGCCAAAACCAAGAGTTGGATGCTCAGCCAACTGAGCCACCCAGGCTTGCTTTTTTTTTTTTTTTTTAATCCCATCAGACAATCTCTATGTTTTGATTAGAGTGTTTGGACCATTTACACTGAATGCAAGTAAATCTGCCATATTGATATTTTTTTCTATTAATCTCACCTCTTGTTTCTTTCTCATTTTTTGCCTTATTTTGGATTAACTGAATATATTTTGTGAATATTAATTGGAAACATTATTGGCTTAGTTGCTATACTTATTTGCCTTTCATTTTAGTGGTTGCTCTAGGCTTTACATTGTACATCTTGAACTTCTCATGGTCCACCTTCAAATATTATACCACTTCACACAGGCGTGTAGGGCCTTCCTATGGTATGCTTCCATCTCCTTCCTCCCATTTGGTGGAATTGTTGTCATACATATTACTTCCACATATGTTATAAATCCCACATTATTTTTTTTCTTTAAGTAGTCAATTATAAAGAGATTAAAATGAGGAAAAATATCTTTTACCTTTACTCACAGATTTATCACTCCCAGTGTTCCTTATTCCTTCACACAGATCCAACTTTTTATCTGTTATCACTTCCTGCTGCCTGAAGAACTTTCTGCAATATTAATTATATTGCAGATGTGCTAACAATAGATTTTCTCATCTTTTGCTTGTCTGAAAAAGTCATTATTTCGCCTTATTTTTGCAGAACGTTTCATGGGGTGTAACTGGTTTTGCTTTTCTCTCAGTACTTTATAAAGATGTTGCTACACTGCGGGTGCCTGGGTGGCTCAGTTGGTTAAGCGACTGCCTGCTGCTCAGGTCATGATTCCGGAGTCCCGGGATGGAGTCCCGCATCAGGCTCCCTGCTCAGCGGGGTGTCTGCTTCTCCCTCTGACCCTCCCCCCTCTCATGCTCTCTCTCTCTCTCTCATTCTCTCTCAAATAAATAAATAAAATCTTTAAAAAAAAAATGTTGCTACATTGTTTTCTGGCTTGTTTCTTTTCTGCTGAGAAGCTTGAAGTCCACTGTTATTCTTTATTCCTCCACAGGTAAAATATCTTTTTTCTCTGGTTGCATTTTAGCTTTTTTTCTTTATCACTTACTTTCAACAGTTTGATTTAGATACTTCAGTGTGGAATTCTTTATATTTTTTTGCTTGGAGTTTATTAAGCTTAATAGATCTGTGGCTTTATATTTTCCTCAAATTTGGAAAATGTTCAGCTATCATTTCCTCAAATATTTTTTCTGCACCTCCCACATTTTTTCCCCCTGCGACTCCAATTACATGTATATTAGACTTTTTTTATGTTGTTCCACAGGTCTTTGAGGCTCTTTTAATGTTTTCAGTCTGGTTTTTTGTGCTTCAACTTGGATCATTTATTTCTCTTGCTATAACTCCAAGTTTATCTTTTCCTCTTAATCCCACCCAGGGTATTTTTCATTTTATTTTTTTTTATTTTTTATTTATTTATTTTTTTAAAAGATTTTATTTATTTATTTATTTATTTGAGACAGAGAGAACGAGAGAGAGAGAGCACATGAGAGGGGGGAGGGTCAGAGGCAGAAGCAGGTTCCCTGCTGAGCAGGGAGCCCAATGTGGGACTCGATCCCGGGACTCCCAGGATCATGACCTGAGCCGAAGGCAGTCGCTTAACCAACTGAGCCACCTAGGCGCCCCAAGTATTTTTCATTTTAGATATCATATTTCTCATCTCTACATGATTCATTTGAAATACGCACATACACACAGAGAGAGACAGACAGATAGACACTTGTACAACATACCCGTCTTTGAGAGATGCCTTAGGTGACACGTGCACATGTCAGCTTAACTCAAAGGATGTTGAGCTATACCACTGTGGTCTCGGGAGACCATACTGCTATGGCAGGCCCTTAATCCCTGTGTCCGTATCTCCAGGGTAAACCACTACCTTCTCCCCATTGCAACAGACCCTCTTGCTTTTGCCCCTCCCTAGTGCAACCCCACCCTTTGCACCCACTTCTGTACCCTTCACCCTCTTCCTTAGCCTTCCTGGTATCTCCCTCCTCCCCAGTTCTCTGCTCTCACACTCCACTCTCAGGTCATTTTTCTTCAACCCAGTCTCAGGTACTATCTCAGTTCCCAGCCTGATGCTTCCACCAGCCTCCTATTTCCTCAACTTGCATCAACACCTTCTTTTCACTCTTCTCCCAGCACTGAACATTCATTCCTCAGGTGCTCGTAACCCCAGTCAAACTTCAGTCCATTACCCCAGTTCTTCCAAATCAACCTCAAGACCTCCTGACCACTTAACCTCCAGATTCTTTTTTTTTTTTTTAAAGATTTTATTTATTTTTTTTGTCAGAGAGAGAGAGAGAGAGCACAAGCAGGAGGAGCAGCAGGCAGACCAGGTAGAGGGAGAAGCAGGCTCTCTGCCAAGCAAGGAGCCCAATGTGGGACTCGATCCCAGGACCCTGGGATCATGACCTGAGCCAAAGGCAGACGCTTAACCGACCGAGCCACTCAGGCAGGAGTCCCTAACCTCCAGATTCTATTCATACCTCTGTATCCAGCCTAACCTTTCTTTCTCAGGCTGATGTTCACTTTGCTGAGGTTCTGTACCCATCCCTACCGGATTCCTGCCCACTCTTGTTCTTAGCCCTCGGGGTCATCACTACCTGCTCAGACCCTCTTCTCCCTGTCTGGTTTTTGCATTTCCACTCTGCCCTGCCAGTCTCTGTGAGGCCATGATGCTTCCTACCTTCTCTCTTTCTTCCCAAAGCATGATGTTTACTTAAGTAAAAAGTGACTTAAATCAAATACCAAGAAAATACAAAAAACAGTTCTGAGATATGGAGAAATTATGATGATGGTATGCAAGGACTGCCTTTTGTTAACTGATCCAAGGAGCCTACAAAACCATATGAATACAAAGGGGTATCTTTTATTATCAGTTAAGGATTTCAATAATAACTTCCTTTATTTCTTTCACCTCTTATTTGGAAATAAAGAATACTAAATTGTTTTTTATTAATTGTTCAGAAATTAAGGGATAAAATGCAAAACAAAATGAGTGATAATTCTGGCATTTCCTTAACAATATATTGTGCATATTTTCTATGTTGCGAAGTTAAGGTGAGTCATAAAGTCAAGATCAGATACACACTTCAAGTAAACTGAATTACCAAATCCTATTTGTTTGCTGAGAATTCTTCTCAGGGTATTGGTGTCCTTATGGAGGCAGATAAAGGCCTAGAGATGAGACACACGGTGTGACTTGGACATACCCCTTGGAGACTGGCTTGCCTAAATTCCTCAGCAATAATACAGTCGGGTTTATTCTCACAACTCACCAATTACGTTTTCTTTTTAAAAGATTTCATTTATTTGAGAGAGAGAGAAAGAGAGAGAGCACGAGCAGGGGGAGGGGGAATAGGAGGGGCAGAGGAGAAGGAGAAGCAGATTCCCCACTGAGCAGGGAGCTGGACACTATGCGGGGCTCCATCCCAGGACCCCAAGATCATGACCGGAGCTGAAGGCAGATGCTTAACTGACTGAGCCACCCAGGTGCCCCACAATTCACCTATTATGTTTGGGATGCTCCCTGGCCAAAGTGCCCTGAGTGTATCTGTGAGACAAGAGAGCATGAAGCCAGACTATGAGCCTCTGGGGCTGCCTGCAACTGAGTGACCATAGTTGCAGGATTTTCTTTTGTATCTTCCTGAGGCCTTCCCCAGAGGCTGGGATTCTCCTTGGATTTCAAAGATTCCAGGGATCATATTTAATCAGATAGGAATCTGTTGGCCTGAACCAACAGAGGAAACAACCATCTACTCTTGGCCACCTGACAGCTTTGAGAAGAACAAATCATGTGAAAACTTTGGACTGTAGAAGTCATTTTGCTGGGAACAAAATTTGCATCACGCCATTCCTTCAGTAATGTGGGCAGGACTTAGCGCTAAGCAAGAACAGGTGCCCCGAAATATGAGATTATTAAATGATATCCCTTCCAATGCTTCAGTGATACAAATAGCCCTGCTTGGGAACCCTCAGTTGGGAGTGAGGGGACAGTATAAAGTGGTATGTCAGTTCGCCTGGGTGGCTAGGTGTCTGCCTTCAGCTCAGGTCAAGATCTCAGGGTCCTGGGATCGAGCCCGCATCGGGCTCCCTGCTCGCAGGAAAACTGCTTCTCCCTCTCCTCCCTACTTGTGCTCTCTCTCTCTCTCTTAAATAAATAGATAAAATCTAAAAAAAATAATAAAGTGATATGTCAAGGATACTGTCCGGCTCTGGAGTTTGTTATGGGTTCTCAGCAGAGAGTCCTCTACGGTCTTTAGTCCAGCGGCGGGAAATAGACACCCAAAACAGGTTAAGAAGTAAATAGAGCTGTGAGAAATAGGAAATAACACATATGGTCAAGAATTAAAAAAAAAAAAAAAAAAAGGCAGACTGAAAGACTTGGATCCTCGAAAGTTTTAAGAGCTAACATGCAGTTGCTATGTACAAACGGATAATTTTAACTTCATTCAACTCAATATTAAAGTGTTTATATTGGGAACTAACTAGAGTAAAAACCACTTATTTTCAATCCTGCAATTTGGAATCAGATAGCAATGGGTTGAACGCTTCCCAGCTTCTCAAATAGTGTGACCTTATGCAGAGTGCCTAACCTCAAAGTGCCTGAAATTCTCCACCTGGTTGCTGCGAGGCAGAAGTGGAATAACGTAGATGAGGCACTCACTCACTGCCTGGCTTTCGATAACTGATAACCGATAACTGGACAACAGACGATGATGCTTTCTTCTTTCCTCTTCTGGGTGATCTCAGCCAAGCAAGAAGAATTCGGTCGAACTCCTCTGATGTGTAAGTGAACCTAAGTTTTGCCAAACAGTGTCTACCTGGTGTCCGTGTAAATCAGGCCCCCAAACTAAATGTATTTAAATAAGCTTTAAATAGGTCACGTGGAATCCAAGTTAGAGCGACTTCTTTGTAACATGAAGGTCCACTGATTACTAACTAGCCCAATTCCTGTGCTTTGTGACCAAGCTGGCTGGGGCCTTTTCCACCTTTCCTAGAGGTACTATGCATCTGTTTTCCAGCCTACAGATCTATTTTCTCCAAAAACAAGACTTTTTTTCTTAGTGGAATGACTTCTAGAAAATTAAACTGAAGTCATTTCTTAGGATCCCCAGATTAAGTTCCCAGATGGCCTCCAGGAATTAATATATCTTCCTAAATATCAGAAACCATGGGAACAGCACGCACTACTATTGTACAGATAGCATCTAAGGCAACTAAGGAAAATGCACTCTTTAATTTCTCCTTAAAAGAGTTCTCCAAAATGTTTACAATTTTAATAACTTACATGGGGCTTAGTATCTAAGGTCTATAATGGTCTCTTTAGGTATTATACTCAAAGTAAATGATACCAGGAGAGTTAAGCGTTATCAAGTTAAATTATGCTTAAAAAAAAAAAATTGGTTCACTCAAGGAATCTTTCATTTTGAAAATAGCCCAATTTAGTCTCAATCAAGTTTCCCTAGAAAACCTTGGAGTAAGGCTCCCACTGAGATTTCAAAAACATACCTCACTTTCAATTTTCACTTGACTTGGAGAGTCTCCCCTTTGAGCTACAGGCAATTGATCTCCGCCCTGAACCCTAGGGGGAATCTTTCCTTTTTGAATTTGGATTGGTGGGAGGGAGTATGCCCCTCCATAAATTCACCCTTGGGGCTTGGTTTCGGGGATAGCTCATCGAGCACGTTTGGGGAAAGTTGTCCAGTTCTGCTCCCCTTCATTCTTGGCTCTCAGTCATGGCCACTGGAACTGTCAGGGTTCTGCACAATAATTCAGAATTGCCCTGATACAATTCTAATGTATTTTGAAAGCAACGCATCATTGG